ACCGATCTGGCCTTCACCTTCTCGTGTTTCTTCTTGTTGATGTTACTGTTACTTGGTACTGCTACATCGACCACTACCACCTTCTTTATTTGCTTGTCCATCACTACTGTGTCTAGTTGGTTTGCCATAATCAGTTCATCTGTTGGTATCTGGAAGTACTTCAGGATGTTAGGTTGGTTATTTTCAAATAACCATGTAGGATGCATCGCATTTTGGTCTCAGGACTTCCAGGCAAAACCTGGGAAAGATGTTCCTGCATACTATGCCGGCCACTTGGTGTGTCCATGTATGCTGCAAGCATCTTGCAGCCTGATGTTATTTGTTTGGTTAGTCACTGTGCTGCCATGATTAGCACCTCTCAGCTGCCTTTCAGTCCAGCTTTGTCCAGCCCCTCCTAGGAACTTGTAACATCAGCCACCCCTTCTACCTGCTGGTGGTAGATGATTTGCATAGGCCTGTCTTTTCACAGAGGCCCCTGCTTCTCTTCATTCTCAGGTTTAATCTGCCTGAACTATTTACTCAGCACTTCATCAGCGGTGGCCATCTTTTGGATTTTTTTTTTTTATTATCCAGGATAGTGGTGAGGGTTCACAATACCCCCAAGGCTATTTCCATACGCAAATAATGTCTGGGTTTTATTTTTTGAAAGGAGTTTTTTCAACTGTACTTCCACGGAATAACCCAGTAGCAATCAGCGCCTACATTTGACTGATTTAAGGATTTAACAGATTTGATTCCAAAAAGAAGATTTAATAATTTAGAACCGACAATAATTATTTTTTGTTCCAAGTTATTTTTCAAATAAAGTTTCAATAACATCACTGATAGCAGCCTCATAGAAAAGCAACTACTTAGAGCCGATAATTTTATCGATGCGCATACTGTATGTTTTCAGGAACAAAGGCCTAAAAAGAGAGTTCCACATCAGATGGTTACATCAGATGGCCCTTTATACATGGAGACTGTTGGTACAACAATATGGAGATCAACACCTGTATTCCATCTGTTTTCTCTTAAGCCGGGCATTCACTGTGCGATTTTTTCAATCGTTGCACGCAGCTATAGCTCGCACTGTACGACAAAAAGAAGAAGAAGAATCCATGTTTGGGACTGCCCACTGAATGATTTGCCCAAGACGGTCGACTGAAAATCGAACAACTTTGATTTTCTCGCGACCTCACGATTCCTGATCGGGAGGTCGTTGTGAGAGGCTGATCGCCCCTCGTTACCGCCTATACACAACACAACACACGACCAGGCTAAAAGCAGAGCCGATCGGAAAATTCTCGCACGACTGGAAAGTCGCCCTGAAAAGGACAAAAATCGCAGTATAAGCCCGGCTTTAGCTAATCTCCTTTAGGGCTGCTACTGTCATACACACAGAAAAAGCCAGAATCACCGGGATCATGTGACATAGAACATTTTTCTTTTAGAGATTATGATTCAATTTCCCTAAAATACTCTGTTATTTATTAGCTAAATGGCTCCTATTGTGGTTGTAATGCTTACATTTAGACTAATTATTTAGTAATAAAAAACTTCCAACATTAACAGTTATTTTCATGACACATTAAAAACATAATTTTAGAGAATTAATTCTAAAAAAAAAATTGAAAATCATTTGGAAATGTGCAGGAAGTAGTATCCAGTTTAAAAGGGAATTTGAACCAAGCATTAAACCAAGAACATCTTATTTATGCCTACGAAACACAATCTTTCATATTTCGGTCACACCTAGCTAGAGATTATTTCATAGAGCATTCTAAGACCGTTTACATTTGCCTGACTGTATTAGAGTGGAAGATGTGTTTTATCTTGGAGTCAAAGATTCCTCCATCAATAAATGATGAGTGTAAATTACTGGGCTTTCAGCAGTCCATAAATAGGAGTCACAAGGTTAGATGTTGCAATCACGCTCTGATTAATGTTAAATGTCAGGGAAGGAAGAAAAAAATCTCAAGGATGAACCTGGATTTTAATACTGATTAATGCTGCAGGTGGACAGTATTACATATAAACAGAAAGCTTTTTACAGGCTTTATGCTGCTGATAAGGTGGAATTTGATGAGTTCAGAGTCACCGAAACCCTCACAGGTCACCCCGAGGAGCTTCATTTCTTCATTAACAAGAAGCCAAAATGTGAATAAGTCATTGTTCCTGCAGAAATGAAGGCTTGGCTTTGTGTAGTGTCATGTTTTTTTACTATCACAACATCTATCAACCTGTATCGCCTCTGTTGTTCGAGCATAATATACACAGAGTAAATTCATTTAGCTGAATCCAGGTCATAGTTAAATTTTCTACATTGACACAAGCAGGTGAGTTTGATTGACGGTGCCCCTGGACCTTTGTATCACAATGTACAACTGAACAACATGCAGGCAAATAGCTTATTGATGAAATTTCTTTATCCACTAGGTTTGTAAAGAAGGGAAATTAATAACATTTTTGATAGCAATTTGTCTTAAGAAGTTAAGAGCTACATACCAGAAATGTTAGTCTGGCTGCTAACACTTGATAGCGATTTTTGTTCTTATCACTAATGAAACATGCAAGAGCTTAAGAAAAATTGGGTATAACAATGTCACTGTACATATATACAGTATGTCTGAAGCATATTGATTTTCTTTTTATAACTAGATGCAAATGTCCGTCTGTTATAAAAGAGTTAATCTTACTGTGTCATTTTATCATTGTGAATTGCACCTTTACTAAGGACAAAAGGTAATCTGTTGTTAAAAATGTACATGTTGTGACTTTTTTTTTTTCTTTTTTGGAGTTTTTGTGGCACCAGTGGCTTGTTTTTTCGAGCAGTAGGCTGACAGGAAAGGGGGTATGAGAGAGGGGGAGAGACATGTGGCAAAGGACCACAGGTCGGATTGGAACCCGAGTTGGCTAAGGGTTGTGCGCGCTAACCACTGCACCACCTGCACGCCCGGCTGGGTGCAGTTTAAAGGGCTACTTTTGTATATATTTCTAAGAATATGGACAACATTTTTTCCTTCCTGTTGTAGATTGGTCACTTTAGTCCAGGGGTCACCGACGTGGTGCATGCAGGCACCAAGGGGCTCTCAAGGACCACATGGGGTGCCCCAAGCATCTTCTGAAAACTTACCAGTGGACTAAGTTTGACATTTTATTTTATGCTGTGCTCTTATTTTTTATCATTTATAGAGCATTTCCTCATATCCATCATTTAAATCAGGCATCCCCAAAGTCAGTCCTCGAGGGCCGCTGTCCTGCAGGTTTTAGAGGTTCCCCTGCTTTAGCAGAGCTGATTATGATGATTGCAGTTGAGCAAAACCCTGTTAATCAGCTTTCAATTAAAATCAGCTGTGCTGGAGCAAGGAAACCTCTAAAATCTGCAGGACAGCGGGCCTTGAGGACCGACTTTGGGGATGCCTGATTTAAATCATGAAAGCATTTATAGGAATATCTAAATATATATCTAAAAAAAGATATATATTTAAATATATATAGCTAAAAAAAGAAATTAAAATATACAGTACAAATATGTTTATTATCTATGACGTCTAGGTAAATGCTGACTCCTCCAGCTAATAGGTCAGTACTGGTAGCCCATGACTTAGTAGCCATATAGGTAGGCCTCAGTCTTATAAAGGTTGGTTACTCCTGCTATAGACCATAAGCTTATGTGATTACTTTTATCTCAAAATTGCTGTTTAAAAGTCAGAAGAAAAATGCTCTTTATTTCTAAAGTGAGTTTTACAGTAATATATACCACTGTTAGAGAGTTAATAACAAATACCAACTGTTTAGAGCAGTAGAAGGTTATGGTTTTGGCCTTTACCTAATCATATTTAGTTACTTTAACACAATTGCTTCATGTTAACAGGGTAGGACATAAAACAATTCTGTTAGAGTAGCTAAATATGATTAAGTAAATGCCAAAAACAGTTGCATTATTTTTTTCAGTGTAGCTTGATGTAGACTTACGAGGGGACTTTCTGGAATATTTGACCTCTGAATTTCTCCAAAACGTGACCAGAAAGGGTGCTCTGGACTACATGTTTCTTTAGGACAAATGTTATTATTTTTTCAGGGAGTAGATAAAAAAGTTCAAGTCTTTTGTAGAAGATGAAGCGCTGGTTAATGTTGGTTAGCTTAGCTTCATAAATTTTTTTTTAAATGTACCCAAAGAGTCAGCTCTAATATCATCTCTAAACACTCAAACTCAGAAGGATAAGGAAGGAAAGAAATTTGCTTGTTTTATTTCAATTTTCCAAGTAATTTTAATGATTCATTTTTGAGATTAGATAAACAAATGCCAAATTCTTCATTAGATGCAAAACCCCTGCTGAAATCTTTCATTATTGTTCATTTGTAAACAAATACAGAACGCCATAACATTTATAGCCCTTTGCTAATTTGCAGAGCACTTCTCAGACAGACCAAAATTAACAAAAAAGAAGACTGTAATAAAACAGTCATGGGCTTAATAAATCTAAAAGCTATCCTCTGATGGGTTATTTCATATAATTGTAATATAAACCTAATCATATTTGATGTTTTTCAAAATAATGGAAGTTATATATGAAATAGCCTATCAAGAAGAACATAACAGTCAGTCTAGTTGATCTTTTTGCCTTAAAAAGCCTTTTAGAGTATTTTTCTCACTATAAAGTGATTGTGTTGCTCACGTACAAAGCATATAGTACACTTCTTTGTGTTTTTATTGTCATTACACTGTCAAAAGTACAGATATGTGTATAGAAATGAACTCTGCATTTAACTCATCTCCTTGGGGAGCAGTGGGTTGCTATAGTCTTGCTCAGGGACCCAGTGTAAGTCCGTGGGAGTGGGGCTTAAACCCAGAACCTCTGGCTTTCAAGCGCAGAAGTTCTGAGTTCAAGCTATTCAAGGTATTTAAGTAATTTCCCTCTGGGATTATTAAAGTATTTCTGATTCTGATTCTATTCAAGCTACAAGCTATTCAACTTTACCACTAATGCCTGGATATTTGGTAGTATTTCCATTACCTTCATACAACCAGTCACTGAGTCCATTGAAGATGAAGCCTTCCCTTCCAGTAGACACCAGACGAATTGAACGGCTCTCCACCTTAGATCGATAGTAGATGTTGTTCTCAAAAATGAATATCTGTATGGGAGAAAAGCAGACAAAATATGGTCCAATGGAATTTTAACCAACTTTGATAATGGATACATCATCTTAAAGTGGCAATTTTGAATGTTTTCTACTTCTAATTTAGGGGTTTTATCCCCAAAAATTTATCATCTCTACGTCAAATTAAAAAAAGTGAAGACTAGAGACATAGAAGGTCAGTCACGACTCAATATTAAGAATACAAAACAGGTTTTCTCTCAAGAAAAAAAACAATGCTTTTAAAAAAAAAAGTGAATTAAAGCATAACTCTTCTAAATGTTTGATAAAAACACAAGCCCTGGGGAGTGAGGTGCTGATTTGGACTCTTCTTTTCCTCACTCCTTCAGGGCTTTAAGATTACTGAAGGTCAATTCAGTCATTAAACAGAATAATGGACCTTACAGTTAAGAGCTAAGCCAAAGCTGCTCTTTGGCTAAGAATTTTTAAGATGTTCCTACCTCAACAAGGAAATCAATACTGGATTATTACAAAAAGAACTTGTTTGGTATGGTAGGGATTAAATATATTGGCCTGGAACAGGTGTTGCTATCAGTTTGAGAGAGATTATAAAACAACTATTCAGTGTAGTCTGAATGATGAAGCTTTTCTCAGCAGGAAGTCTACTACTGTTTCCACCCTTTTTTTAGTCTTTTCAAATATATTTCCTTTCACTAAAGAATAAAAAAAAAACTCCCAACTAGGATCCCAACAATTTATCCTTTCACTAAACCGTGTCTAAGCAGTCTGACATTTAGTATGCATGGTGAAAAATTAGCCACTTAGGTTTCTTCAGCAAATGCTGCATCTTTAACGGAAAAATAGCAGAACCTGTCACAATTAGCTTCTCCTGAGAAGGCGTAAGCTGTGGGCCTCATGTGCTTTGGTGACAGTCCAATGCACACGAGTCTCGGTGTAGGAGCCTATCTAGGCCACAACAAAGAGAGAACACCTAGCCCTGTTCTGTCATAAGAAAGATGGGAATTTGGTCTGAGGCCATACGAAGCACAAAACATTTTAAAGAAAGAGGATATTTTGTTTGGATAACAGAAAATGTTCTCTCTGCAAAGAAAATATTTTTTCACTCTAGACGTTACAGGTGAAACTCTCCTGCACCGATGGAACTATTAATATTTGTATACCTTTTCCTAATCACCTGTAGTTTGGCCAGCAAGTGTATTTTATAGTCAGCATTAGTTCTTATGATTTTATTTTCCTTTTAAGTTTTTGTTGCACACAGCTTCCCTTGGGGGTTTTGGATTTAGAAACCTACATCAGAGCCACAAGTTAAATTTTAGTCCCTTTTTCAGAGTGTCCTAAAAATAGCTAGAGGCAGACTGGGCAGAAGCACCTCTTTTAATTGAAAGAATATCACCAACATTTCTACTCCCCCATAGTGTCCAAAGTGTTGGAATAGAAAACTAATGGCTATTCTCTGGATTTCTCCACCTCCCTCAGACTGATCATGGGCTACTTTGCTACTGTTTTGATTAATGTTCATGTTCTTGCCACGTCATGAAAGCACTGGCACACGTGTTTTAGTCTTGTTCATGTTCAGATTATGGGTTGAACAGTGGTCTTTGAGAACAGTAATTCCAGATAAATCAGTACTGCTTTCATGTATTGTCGCCAAAGTCTCAAACATCACAGAAAAAAGTAGTTAAATTTATCGCTACTTGTAAAAAAAAAAGTGTTAGAGGTGTCTGAAAAGTTGGCAGCAGTGCTGGTGAGCAGGGCTCAAATACTGTAGGTCTTTTATGTGATCGGAGGAGGAGACAAATAGTTCAATCAGGTATCAGGGGTATGTTCATTAGAAGGAGGCAGGAGAGGCCAGCCACCGCTCCACAGCTGGGGCCAGTAAATCACCAACCTTGATCTGCACAGCATTATGCAACCATAATAACCTCAGGCCAGGTCAGTCTGTTTATCACTTATGTAATGTTTTGAAGAAAACACAACACATTTTTCTATCTGTAATCTGTAAGCCATGTGCTCTTTCCCTTTAAGCTCACAATTATGGATTAATCTATGATGGTCCATTAAAAAAATATATATTCCAGGAAAATACCTCAAAGCTTTAGATTGTGACAAAGAATTAAGAGATTTGAAGGGTATTAATATCTTTGCAAAGCGCTGGTAATCTGGCAGGAATAACTAAGCTGATAGTTCTTTCTTTAAAGATACATTTCTTTAAAAAAACAACAACAACAACAACAAAAAAACAGTATATATATCAGTAACTGTTTTTCCACCAGTAAATATGCTTTAGTACTTAATGTTTAAAACTTTAATACTATGATTACTTACTTTTAACCTTTAGGTCTACTTCTCTCACAATAAATCTGTATCAAAGATTGCAGCATTTGCATTGACAAAAGCATCTTCCTTAGCAAAACTGGCCAAAACCAGAGAAAAAAGCATAAGAAATGTGTTTAAGCATTTAGAGCAAAATGATTAATAGATTGAGGATGTTCAGTGGATAAAAACTATATAAACAAGCTTTAAGTCCCATGCACAAAGCCTCCTGAAGTGTAACGTCTATGTATTTTGGCTCACAGCGAGCCTTGTTTAACTGTTAATTGGAAGGAGTGGCTCTGATATGATTTGGCAATGTAAATCGCACATATTTCTAGTGTAATTAACAGAAACTGTTTTGCAGAAAATAATTTGGAGAAAGGCTTGTCTTACAATTGATTTTCATCTTGTTCATCTTTGAAAAGCAGTACAAGAAATAGGCCTCCTGAGGCCTTTCTAAGTATCTGTTCTTCTGGGAAGAGAATCAGCTCCATGTGGAGAATTAGCTGCCTACAGAGAGCGAAAAAAGAAAATAAAACAATTGGATTTATTTTTTATGGTTAAAGAACTGTATAAAAATCTTTATACTTTTTTCAGATTGCATATGTTTTATTATTGCTTTTTGGTCTAACAAAGTTGCTCATGTGTGGCTCAAGAGCTGCATTACAGCCCTGTAAGTAAATGAATAAAGGAGGATCAATCAAGGATGGGCAATTTGCTAAAAGAGAATAGCAGGTGGACAGAGTTACAATGATTAGATTCAACATTTGATAACAATCGGTTTTTGGCTCCACCTTTCAACAGCCCAGTTTCAGCAAGAGGACATTTCTCCCTGTAACATTAGGCCCTCCATAGGTATGTGGACCTTTAGGGACTGCTGCTACTCTGTTTCCTGTACACACTGCAGATAAAAGTCAGACCAAAGCATGAATGATGAAGCAAAACTTGAGGCCACATCAATCTAGGAAGCGAGTTAATTAATCCCCCGATCAGATAACAGGTAATTAATAGCATTTTATCTTCAGGACGCAATCACTTATATTCTAACCGCCCTGTAAACCAGCATGCTGAAGCTCATTAAGACTGCGGTAGATCTGATGGGGTGGCGAAGGAGAAGATGGACAACGACCCATCTTGGAAGAAAAAGGATGGGCCTAGGTTTCTTGAATTTTAATTATACTGAGTTCCAGGTCTTTACTGAGATATTACTGGACAATAAGTGCTCAGCTGTTGAAGTATGTGAGCATAATGTCTTCAGAGGGTTAGAAATGTGGTCACCGATCAATGATAGATGCTTCACATGAACTGGAGGAATGGAGGACATCAATTATGAAAGGCAATGATAAAAACTTGGTGTTGGTCCTAGACAGCCAGTTGGAAGGCCTCATCTATATTATATAATGGGAGAAACAACTTTAGACCAGATGAAACTCAAACTTTAAGCATTGAAATGTTTCAAAACATACATTTGTCCGCAAAAGACAAATACTTCGACTTTATCATTAAACAAAAAAAGGAGAAAACTCCGGGAAAAGAAAAACAATAAGTTTTCAAAAAACCTGAAAAGCTGTAATTATGACAATATGTTATTTTTATAATAATTATATTCTAGAAAAAAATTCAAAGGAATTGGAAATTAATAAATAGTTTTACACACGGAGGTTAGCGAGGAGCCATACATTGCAGTCAGCAGTAGCACTACTTTAAAATAATTTTTACCGTGATAAGAGAAAAAAGTAGTCATATAAATAAATGACCCAAGTAATGTTCATTTGGTATAATGGTTAACTGTAAGTACTGGGTAATCCTATTTAAATTGTAAAAATAATGTTAGGATTCAAACAAACTAAATAAAAGCTTGTAGGCTTCACTTATTGTTGAGACATTCAAATATGGAAGCATCCAAAAAGGGCACAAACAAATACATTGCTAAAAAAACACACACATATATAACCCATATAACTTCAATAACTTAAATTGAACTTCTTTGAAATCAAATGGTCCACTTATGAAGCAACTCAGATTGACAGTCAAACTTCAATTGCTGTTTTGCAACAGCAACTAAGAATAGTCGGAAATTATTTGAAATTATTGGTAGAAGGATGGGACATCAATGTGAGCTGTGGCAAGCATATTTGCTGTGTGTCAGCGTAGTGTCCAAAGAAGGAAGACATTACCAGGAGAAAGGCCAGTACACTAGGAGACATGGAGGAGGATGTAGGAGGGCAACAACCCATCAGAAGGACTGCTACCTCTGCCTTTGTTCAAGGAGGAACAGGAGCCCTGCCAGAGCCCTCCAAAATGACCTCCAGCGGACTGGAATGTGCATCTGTCTGCAAAAACGGTTGGAAACGGACTCCACGAGGATGGTATGAGGGCCCGACCTTTACAGATGGGGGTTGTGCTAACAGCCCAACACCGTGCAGGATGCTCGGGATTTCCAAGAGAACACCAGCATTGGCAAATTCACCACTGGTGCCCTGTGCTCTTCACAGATGAAAATAGGAACACACTGAGCAACTGTAACGGATGTTAGAGAGTCTAAAGACATCTTGGAGAGGCATCTGCTGACAGCAACATCCTTCAGCATGGTGTGGGGTCGCATTTCTTTGGAGGGCTGCACAGCATGACTGCCATTAGCTACAGAGATGAGATCCTAAGACCATTGTGAGACCATATGCTGTTCCAGTTGGCCATTTAACCATTGTGAATCGCGATAGAATTACCTATGAATATTTTAATTTCCCAGCAGATTTGATAACATAACTAAACACAAGCAGTGAGTCTTGGCTTAAAAACCTCAAATAACTTAATACTGACTAAAGCTTAACATTTGTGTGTGTGTGTTTGTGTGTGTATATACAAGAAAACAATTACTTGGAAGACTTCCAACAAGTATATGGCTTCGCTGGAATGACCAACTTACAGCAGGTAATGTATATCTATTAGATCAGTGCAAAGCACTTCCAGTGACAATATCCACTGTTTATTGAATGTTCTCTTGACCTTTGAGTTGCACACTAGGCTCAGCAGATGGGAGATAACATTAGAACGATGAAGCTCATCTTCAAACGAGAAATTTAACATTAACCATTTCTAAAAACTCTCCTATTTGGTTCAAATGTGTTTATGATTCAGTAAAGGTGGAAATGGTGGCCAGAAAAAAATCTTTCTCTTATAGGACACCACAACAATGTCAATATGACAAAAAACAAACAAAACAACAAAAAAGTCCTGAAGCCATCCTGAACTTTAAAATAAATTTCTTCTTTAATGTTAGATTGTTTAAGAAAAGAATCACCTTACTGCACCATTAAGTTTGTTCTCAAAGTCTCTGCTTGTGTCCTTTAGGGTCGAGAAGCAGATGGCTCTCAGCTTTTCTAAAAGAAAAAGCTTTTTATGAGTTTCATCCTTTAGGTTTGAAGACAGCTGTACATTAAGAATAAGTTTAACTTCTTGGTGTGAATTCTTGGTAGAATTCGGAAGTGAAATTGCACCATTTAAATAATTGTTATTTAAATGTCCTGTGAGTGCATTTTACAGAGAGTTTAGAGTAGGTTTTAGAAATGTAGAGATAAAGGTATTTGATCATGTTTTCTGGTTCCTATGAAAATAAAAAATACTGCAAAAATAAACAGTGCCCTTCATTCTGCAGAATTTTCAAATAGGCCTCTTCCTATTTCCATCAACCCTAATAATTATGTTAGGGATGATGGAATGTTTCTTAACATTAATATTTTATTACCTTTCAACTCTTTCCACTTCAGATAAATGCATGATCATCTTATCAATGTCTCTTTTGCTAATAAGAAGCTGAAAAGCTAATCCCTAGTTTGTTCCCAAAGACATTGGACTAAAATACTATTATTTGAAACAGACTTCAGTTTGCAGACCTCATTTCACAATTTATCACCGAACCGGCAACTTTAAAGGCACAAGCAGAAATAATGGAGCCTCCCCTTTGTTTCTGCAGAGTTGCCTTTCTTCTTTTGGTGTTAAATCAAATCGCTAAGTCACCGCCGATATATCTACACAGCTTTCTTGAACAAACTACATCTACATAACATGGTAATTCCATCCCAGCAGCAAAGCAAGTACTGTGATTCTTTTGATTCAAGTTGCAGGAGATCATATTTAAATGTCAAATCATTCTGGCTTAAACATGTATATAAATGTTCTCTTTATCAGACAATATTGTGCCAAAATTTAAAAAAATTTTAATTAAAAAAAAAATCTTGTCTTAAAATCTGTATTTTTTTTCTGTGATCTTATGCAGGCCATTAGTTATACAGTGTCGTTGGTAAGTCACCAATTTAGTGCTACCTGGTCCCAATGGAATTTTCCATTGGGAAGTTGCTAACTGGTCAGCAAGATGCTTCGGAGAAACTGGTCACAATAAAACTTGCTTACGAACCTTCCAATCCCGCCCTCTTGATAAGGGACAAATCACATTTACTTTATTTGCTCGGGAGAATTCGGAAATGCAACGGTTGGAACGGCCGTTTACCTACAACTTTAAGAAATCTCAGATTTCAACATAATTCACACCAAACAAAGGGCAATCTCTTTGGAAGTGGTCAGCATAGGTCTTAGGTCAGGAAGTCAGAGCTGGACTATCATCTGTATATGTTGGGCCCATTGTACCCCTGCAATGCTTAATTTTTAGACAAATATTGTGACAAACTAACAGATAAATACATTCACTGAAATAAGTTTCAAAGTGAAATGTGAAAGTAAATCCACATAAAAATAGTCAGTTTATGTTTAAATACCACCTACGCTGTGTCGAAATGGCTAACAAAGACTGACCTGAAATGGCTTCACCACAACAGAATTTTATTCAGGATACATTTTTTTTTAATCTATCTGTGTTTATTATAAAATACTGACTAGCAAACCTGAATTAGCCACACAAAACAATGGCCATGGACATAAAATAATTATAAAAGTTTATGTTTCATCGTAAAAAATGCGGAAAAGTTCCTCTAGCAAAGTTAATTGATATTTAAAAAACTTTAAAATACACAAACACAAAACACGATGAAAATAACAAACAGAAAACATTAAGATTCAAAGACGAAGAGAATCATAATTAAAAGGCTCCGTCAAAAATAATACAAAATATTTTATTCAGTTAATAAAGAAAATATGTATTTTGTCCTGCAACTAGAATAGGAGCACAGTATGTTTTTAATTAATACACTAACTCCTTTGACAAACCAGCCAATATCTAATCCCAAAGGAAACCCCTTTTCTTAATTAAATAAGTTTGATTTTCTAATAAAACAGTACAAAAACAGTAAAGGGCATCATTTTTTTTGCTGTATGCATCAAGAAAACTTTCAACCTCACTTTTTAAACTACTTGAACATTTAAGTTTTTGACAAACAATTAGAGAAGTTTTCATCTCTTACCAGTTGTTGATCCTGGGGTCCCCATCCTGCAAACTGCAGCTGAGCATTTCGCACCTCTGGGGGGTTCAGGTTCCATGTCTCTCTAGGGAACAAAAACACAGAGGGAGACATGAAGTCAAGACACCTAAACAGACACGATGGCTGTGTACTCCCAGCACTGCAGCAGCAGCAGCAGCAGAGCAAGTGTGGGACATCTTTGAACAAAGGTTTAAGTGTCTCCATAAATACCCACACCGTGTAAGGGTGTCACCTCTCCTTATTGGGAACAGCGCTGTCCTGTGCAGGCTGCTGAATTAGACGGGATGCCGATGTCTTGTCTTTGTCTGCAGCTCACAATGAATGAGGTCACCCGCAGAGATGTGCAGGTGCATTTATAGAGGACAGTACCACAGGGTGGCAGCACATTATATCCTATACATTCATACTAATATGTATACTACTGTATATCCTATACATCAGAGGGGAACAAATCAATACCTTTGGGATATAAATTCTAAAATCTGTGGAAAGACTTCATAAAAGACTAATCTCACTGGACCATTGTGTAGGAAAAAAACAAAACAAAACAGATCCTTTAATTGAGATTTGAAATGGTTTCAAGTTTCAACATCCTTTGATTAGAAAATATTACAAGATCACAAAGATTTAGCGTGGAGTTCTTTAAATATTGTGTTATTGGGCATCTATAAATGACATTTCATCTTTGCCTTTTTAAATGTGGTCACTTCTTCATTTTAAAGATTTAATGTACTAAATTAAAAGTAGTATCATATATTCTGTTTATTAAAATTAAGAGTCAAACGAAATAGCAAAGGAAAAAAGCAAGTCTTGTATTAGGGTTGTATGCAAAAAGAAAAAAGGAAGTACAGCTGCAAGGAGTAAAAGTCTGCAGAGCTTCACTTATTTGTATTTTTCCCTTCAGGCATTTTAAGTGCTCAACATTTAGATTAAATCAACTTTTGTTGCTGAGTTTGTTTACTAGAGTTCCCTAAGGTTAAGTTTACGACTAATTAAAACAGTGTGTCGCTCTGTGGGTCCCGCATGAAGCAAGGTGAGGCAGCAACCTTAACATTGGACTGGCAGAACTCCAAGTAAGGTACTCAAGGGTTTTTAGGGCCACAGCTTCTATGTGCATCGTGTGCAGTTACTTGCTTCTAAATTGTAGATCAACACTCTCAATGTCACAAAAAATGTCATGCACACCGGCAAATCATTTGCACAAAGAAATGTTGGATGATGCAGTGGGGCCCTCATTAGAAACAGAAGTAACCACACCCCCAAATTGCACCTAAATTCAATGGAGCTGGTTAACAGCAAACAAAAAAAAAAAAAAAAAAAAAAAACAGAAATAAAAGAATTTACGGCAACAAATTGAATGCAGTGTTGAACTGTAAGACTGTGGGGAAAAGGCACAATCCTTGTATTTAGGGATGAGGTGGAGTCACAAAGAAAAAGCACAAGCAGACTTTTGACTTATGCTCATTGCATAAAAATGACTTATAATACTTTGGGGGTGGGATGTTTATTTTCATTGCCTTACAGGCTCAGATTAACCTGGCAGTAGCCAGAATAATAGGTGTAAAACTGAGTTGAATTCTACGTTATCAAACTTGGATGGCTACTGTTCAGTCTGTTGGCAAAACGGAGGGACATTTAGTGCAATACTTAGAGCTTCCATAATATGCTCTCAGCAAAATATATGCTGCTAATCATTCAATTCAATTCAATTCAGTTTATTTATATAGCGCCAAATTCACAACACATGTCATCTCAAGGCACTTTACAGTTCAACCAGATCATACAGTCAAGTTGATACAAAGTTTTCTATCTAAGGAAAACCAGTTGATTGCATTGACTCATTGATTCAAATACAATCCCTCACACTAAGCATGCTTGTAGCGACAGTGGAGAGGAAAAACTCCCTTTTAACAGGAAGAAACCTCCAGCAGAACCAGGCTCAGTGTGAGCGGCCATCTGCCGAGGCCGACATGACCTTTCCCATCTACAAATGCACAAAGTGCTTCCCTTTGTTCCTTTTTAAATGAGAAATGTTCATTATTTTAGCTAAAACCGAGTCAATTACGGTATTGATAGGTGAGTCCTCCAGCATAGCCATGTTTATAATGCCCCGGCCAGGCCCTTTTGACCGTCGTCATTCCTACATGTCCCGCCCCAAAAAACCTCGGCTGGCATGTCATTGGTGTGACCCACTGGTGGTTATGAGATGGACGTATTAGTGGGAGTCTTTCAAGATGGATTTGTTTTGAGACTGAAAACTCAGATCTCATGACAATCCAGCTTGTAAAGCAAGGCTAGGCTCAGATCACAAATCCAAGAAACTAAGAATGCAAAAAATCTGAACTGTTTTCTTGTTTACATCCTAAAAGTGGGTCTTTTCATTACAGGATGGTTTCTTATAGCTATAAAATGCTGGAAAACATGGATAAGCTGTGGTTTGTGCCACAGATTAGATGATACTCTTTGGGCTTCATATGTAAAATAGAAGTAAACAATGAATTTTTAGGTGATTCACAGGTCAGTTTTATTTGTAAGAGAAATTCAGGTTAGATATTATCTAAAATAAAAAATCCATCTAAGGTTCACTTACGGAGTCTCCAGACTGCAGATGATGTAAAAGGCTGTATAAGAATACTGGTACACCTGCAAAGGGAGGGAACAAAAAGTACTTAGTTTAAACCATTGGCAAGAAACTGTTTTATGTCCTTTTGTTAAGCTAATTAAAGTATTAAAAGTCCACCAAGGTTATACTGGACCAGTGTTTTGTTTGAGATTAAAAAAAACACAAACAGGATTAACACTAATAAATCCTTCAGAGACACAGAGCGGATCATGAATAAAACAAGGAGAAAGAGGATATCTACAATGTTTTTTAAAATGGTTCTATAAAACAGAAAATCATTTCTATAAACTCTAACATGTTTGATGTAAGTAAAAGAGCGAATTGCCATCCCTTCAACATTTAAATTAGTATTTTTTTACTGCAGTAGTTTAAGTTGAATAAAGTCACAATGCTTGCAAGATCATATTTAATCCTTCAGGAATATAACAGTTCATCCTTCATATTCTGATATGCTCTTAATAAAAAGCACAGCCATTTTAAATTGTATGCTTTTAACATATAAATCCAGGGTTTTCATCAGAGGTTTTTAATTAGTGTGTCTCTCTGTATGTGTGTGTAATTAGACCCAATCCTTTTCTCTGTAAATCTTGTCTTTTTCATATCCCTTTTATATTTTTTTGCATTGACCCAGACACGTTCTCTCTGATCCGCTTGCAGCTGTATATTACTGGGTATAAAAAAAAAAACAAACAAACAAAAAAAAAAACACTCTGATTACTTGGTGTGGCTTGACAGACCACCCATTTGGTAATCTTCTCCCATGCTTTCAAAGCTGGCTGTCTGTGTTCACCTGTCTGCAAGTGCTAAGTGTGAGTCAATGAGAGTCTGAAGGGAGCAGGGGTCACATTTTCAAAGCCCTTTTCTCAAGTATATGTGCAAAGACGGATGTAAATGATTTTAAAAACAGTTTCCACAGCTGTTTTGCTCGATAAAAGTCAGTGCATTGGCCTAATTTCGGTGTAGCCAGTGTTTGTGCTGAAATATGGTGGAACACAGCCCTGAGGGCAAGGGAGCCTAGATGTTATGACTCATAAAAACGAGTGTAGTGTCCTGAATTTCAGCGTAGCAGCGATAAAATTAAGTGTAACATTGTGAATTTCAGTGCAGTGGGGACAAATTACGTTCTTTCATTGTATTCGTTGTTTTTTTTTTTTCATCTTTGCAAGTAAATACATAAATGTACGAGAACATAGCAGTGTCCTTTGTACATATTCACTGTAACTGAGTTATATTTACCCATACACAAAACAAAAATTATTTAAAAATACATATAGAGAGATAAAAAAGATAAAGTGGGGGCAAATTTGAATGCAATGTTGCACACTTCGCTGAAATATGCTGATCAGTACCCTCTAAATATCAAGTCTTTGCAAGTTCTACAATTATTTCTGTTAGATTTGAAATAATTGACACCACTGGCACATTTATGTTAACACAATTTGGTCCACCATGACTGTTGGCCCATGGGAAGACTTTTTTTTTTACTAATTGTCCTTGAACTAGCAGAGAAGAACCAACACCACTCCCATGCCAATAAAATGCTTCAGCTTCAGCGTTATCAAGCTGCTCCAGGAAAGCACAAAATGGGTTTGAGTGCTACAGGTAGAACAGCCTGAATGTTTCCTCTGCTTTGGGTTAGGAAGCACATCCATCATATATAGAAATGGTACCAAGACTGTCAACTGAGGAACAAGCCTTAAGTTGCAGGTATACTGTAGCTTACCTTGTCTCACCCTTAGCTACAGACTGCCTTACACTGCAAAAATGATATAGAAATAAAAACAAATTTCTTAAATTAAGTGCATTTACCCTTAATTTAAGCAGGTAAATAGGATGATTTCCCAGTGGAGCGAGTATTTTTACTCTAAAATAAGATAATTAGGTAATATGTACTTGAAATAAGACAATAGTTTTTCCTTATTTTAAATGTATATTGTCTTGTTTCACTAGTAAAGTGTCTCACTTACCACCTCAATTCAAGAACAAATGCATTTATTTTAAGAAAAGATGACTTATTTAGAATGCAGTATGAGCCCTTTTTTGTAACAAAAGTAGAAGTCTTTAAAACGTTAATGGCTGCTTTGCTTCAAACTTTGCTCAAGATTGACCTGATAATCAGGTTTGCCCTCTACCCTGTGTCTTCCATTTCCAAATTGTGCAGTGCACCGTGTTGTTTCAACACATAAAATCAAAGTCTCTGGTCGTACCGTGCAGTTTAAACGTTTAGGGTATAAATGCCTCGGAAAGACACTAGATCTATAATTTTGGTTGTAGTTTCAAAGTTATTGGCACAACAGAATGTAAAACCTGTTGCACAATAACAAGATCATCTACAGATGTCACAAGTGGTAATCTAAAAAACAAAAATCTCCTAAAAAAGTAAAAGAGTTGATTTACTGAACAGACTTTAACGCTGGTTGCATTGAATAGGATCTAATCCGAACACTAAAGATATTAAACAGCTTGTTATACATTTTTATTACAATTTTTGTTAATTATCATCAAATTTGCACTAATCTGAGTTCCTTTTCTGCAAGAGACACTTTAACATTTTAACTAGGAAGAGTGACATACGTCTCAGCACTCAATCACGTTATTTAGTAGGTATTAGATCCATCCTACATGTTGAAGAGAGAGAATACATAAATATGTCACGGTGTGCTGCTGCAGTGAGCATACTGGAAGAAGGACTGTCATCTATCAAATTGATGGGGAGTTCAGCTGGATAATAAATGCAAATACAAACAGTACAACAGGATCCTGTTTGTCATAATATTCGCTATTCATCTCAGGCAATAACACCAGATTATATATCTGTAGGCATCTTTCAGAGTAACAGGAACAAATATGCTGGCTGCAGCAGAATAGAGGGAGGACAAGCAAACAGCAGGTAAGCAGGTGAATGATTCAATATATCTGATGCGGCTATATTAGGAGGCGAGAGGCTTTGATCCATATCACGGCGCTGCCAGGCCAAATGCAGTCGTGGGTTACTTGATTCAAAAAGCGTAGAGAAATGATGTATTCCCAGCCACTGCTTCCTGCTCTTGCCGTCAATCTCATCTGCTTCTCTTCCAGCCCCATGTGCCGCCGAGGGGGTCGTTTGTGTTTCTGCCACCTTCGCCACAGTTCCGCTCAGCTGTGCTCCCCACTCCCCCAAAAACCGAACATAAGCCCTCCCACCTCCGCCTTGCCTGTGTGCAGCAAGCTTTCACAACTCGCCATAATTACTCCCCACCCCGCTCCTCTCTCCTGAAGCGTCTGAAATATTTGGCTGTCAGTTTGCCAACTCAGAAAAAACAAACAAGAAAACAAATGAGAAGCTCACCGCTGCAACGTTGTAGGCCAGCAGCACATGCTTCAAGTCAGGGGACACCTCATACCTGCTGGCTTTGTACATTTCCTGTGAATTAAAGTGAGATTTCAGTGCAGAAAGCAAAACAATAACACATCTTTAGCCATGCGTGCTGTTTTCATTAAACTTGTCCTTAAATGCCTGCCTTTGACAGATTGCCTTGCTTCAGCCGTTAATGGGGGCCACATTAATCTTTGCACTTGGGCTTCGCAATATTATAGCTGATATAATGTTATTATATCAGCTATCTTGACGTCTGCCTACATATTCGGATCACATTTCACAGAAATGATGCATCGTTTGATTGAATTTTCCAAGCGAAGGAGCTGCATTAGGTTTGATTTGCTGACCCAAAGTAACACAGTTGGGATTAAGTTTAAGGGCAGAAACTGACAGCAATTCTGTCTCGTCAGAATAATAATCCTTAAAGAAAAAAAAAAAAAAAGACTTACAAACTTCTTGTTATGAACCAAGACAGTTTGCTCATCCGTGTCGATGTTGTACTTGACAACGTCGCCATCTCGGTTACGGTACAATAACTCATTACCTGTGGAAAGAAGAGACAAGATGATGAGAAACGAAGGGAAAGTTATTAAAAACATTTAATCAAAGAGGATATTGGATGAATAATTCAGCAAACCATCTGATATGAAACTACATAGACAGCTCCTCCTTTCTTCAACACTGTAGAAAACTAAGTTTTATAAGGCTGAGGCTAAGGTACGTCCCACATAGCCTCTTATGATTCTGCTCTGAATTATGAGAAATTTTGATCAAGATCCAGACCAGTTCTACAAAGCAACCTTATGTAGCTTTAATGTAGTTATTGAACGAAAGCTCTAAATAGCATAAATTCTTCATAAACTGGTAGACGGTGAGAGATTTGAATGACGGTTGGCTTCAGATCTCTAGAGTCAAAATGAGAATTTAAACCAACATCACCAATTCAAATTAAGTGGACTAAATCCAGTACACTCTGCTTTCTATTCAAAACTCTTTATTTTCTCAACAATTCATAGTGTACCAGTCACAAAAATAAAAGTATAAATGACTTTTCATGAGACCTCCACAAAGTAGCAACATGAACATATCATTTCTGGGTTTTAAACATATACAGTTTTACCTGGAGCTTGTTTATTCAGCTCTATCAATCAAAACAGAAATATATACATGCAGAATCACCTTCTATTTCAACAATAGCTGCAGGGTTTTGAGGGTATGTCTTAACTAGCTTTGCGCATTTGCCAAATTAAATTTCTGCACTTACTTTTGCCAAATAGATCAAGTTCAGTTAAAGTGGTCAGTGAATCCCTACGCATATTAAATCACAAGCCTTCCTAATCTGATTTTGGTCAGGCCTTTGACTGTGCCAGTGTAGTACATGGGTTTGCTTTGATGCATGCTATTCTGCCCTACATCTGACCAGCGTTCTTGTCCTGCTGAAAAAATAACCAACACCACAAGTAAAAATTTAAATCCTCCTTCTCGCATATAAAGCCTTAAATGGCCAAGCTCCATCTGATATCAGAGATCTGATTGTTCTATATCTTCCTAACAGAGCACTTCACTCTCAATCTGCAGGTTTACTAGTGGTTCCTAGAATTTCTATAAATAGAATGGGAGAGAGATCTTTAAGTTATCAGGCTCCTCTGCTGTGGAACCAACTACCAGTTTTAGTCTGTGAGGCAGACACCCTGTATACTTTGAAGGGTAGATTTAAAACTTTCCTTTCTGATAAAGCTTATAGGCTCAGGTTATCCTGAGCTAAATCTATATGGCGAGGGCGGGGTAGTGGTTAGGACATAGCGCATGGAACCTGAGGTTCTGAGTTCGAGCCCACTCCAACAGACTGCCACTCTGAGTCTCTGAGCAAGACCCTTAACCCCACACTGCTCCCAAGGTGCCCCACAATGTCAACCCACTGCTCCCCAAGGGGATGGGTTAAATGCAGAGGTAAATTATTCCAATGTGAGATCAATAAAGTTAAATTATTAGTTATGCTGGATTTCCTTAGAAAACAAGCTGAAGATTATTGTATGATGTGGTTGAACAGAGGTAAGCTATAATAAGCTGACGTAATGAAAACATGTATATTTTTTGCCCGTTTTACTTTTTGTAGATAGCAGGAAGTGCTACTTATCAAGATTTTTTATTTTTATTTTTTTTACATTTGCAGCTGTTAACTACTCTGGGGTTCCAGGCAACCAGCTCTCACCAGTCCAGATTAGCCCACAGGTGTTAAACATAATCAATAATTAATTAACTTTCTGCCTGAAGCCACTTTTTAGAACAAAACAATCCTTTCAAATTATCCATCAGTCTGTCATATCCCAGCCAGCTCAAAATGTAACACTGCCTACCAGCTTGGATTACTTTAATACGACTAGTCCGTATATCAGATAATGGACACTTTGCAATCACAGCACTTTCTTTTATACTTAACAACTTGGGCTGCAACTAATATTATTTAGCAAATTAATTAATCAGTTGAGTATTTTTTTTCGATTAATAATCGGATAGCCAAATTTTTCTTAAATAAGATTTTTTTTACAAAATTAAAAAAGCTGTAACTAAAACTTTTCCACTTGATGAGTATTGAATAGAGCATATTAACAGAAGATTTTTTTTTTGTGTCTTTAATGCAAAATGTACATATATAGATTTTTTTTTTAATTTTGATATTATTACTGCCCTTCTGTGAGTGCCTCGCTTTGTCAGCTAAAGGCACGTTCAGAGTCTCTATACTCCAGGTAACTATTAATCGATTACTAAATTAGCTGAAGATTATTTCAATAATCAATTGATCATGATTAATCTAACTAATTCTTTCAACCCAAGTCATAACACTACCATGGTAACCCAACATACATTTTGGACTATCGATCTCACTCACCAACACATCAATTTCTGCCTAATGTAAACTGCTTTGTTTCACTCTTTCCTCTGTGCGTCTTAACCATCATATTGCATTGATATGCTGTCTCATTTGATGACATTCCTAAGGTGCTTTGCTTTGACCATTTCTGGATAAATGTGGGCATGTAGGGGGCAGAAAATGGAGCAGAACCTTGAGACCGACACTCAGCTTCAGCTAGAGCAGGACTTCAAAAACACTTCAGCCCATATCCCCAAAAATAGCAATGCAACAGATTAGCTCCCTTCTACGATTACATATAATTACTTATCTCTATATTTATGTTTAAATATAAAGTAAATATTTTCATTTTAATTTTTTAACAACATCTAATTATTTAATTAATCATTTTTTGTATAATTCAAAGGTACATTGTGCAATTTAAGTGCATATCCATTATTTGAATTGTGTATTAGATAAATTAATTAATTTTATGTCTATTCATTTTATGGTACATTAACTTATTTCATAGAACATTCACTTTAATGTATTCCATTATATTCTCAGCCCTCCATATACCTCAGGGATCATGTCAGAATGACTGTGAAAACCATCTCACAACCGCCCCACCCTGAGCTACAGCATGTTGTATAATGGAAAACTGCATGCTGCTGGGTGTGTGCATGGTTTATAAATCTAATTTGGGGGCGTACACCATTTTCTTTTTGGCATATGCACAGGTTTAGTGTGGATCTTACTCAATATTGTGGAACTGAGTCCCCAGAGCAGAGCACAGTCTTTCAAATAGTGGTCAGCATTTTCCTATATGGCTAGTGGAAAGCAGCAATGTCCCTGAGCTGAAATCAATTTCCTCCTTGAATTTTGCTTTTTTTTGCCTGGCCTGTCCATTTAAGTGTTTTTTGTGTGTTTTTGCTTTCAGAGCTTGGTGGGATGTCTAAAGCTTTGGTGTTGTATTTCCTAACTTGGTCCTGGTTGAAGCCTCTCCACTATTTTGATCCTGGGCTGTTTATCATGGTTTTTGGCCATCATGATGTTTTTTGTTCACTAATGTTCTCTTGCAATTCGCGGAGGACCTCATGAAACAGCTGGATTTAAAAGTAATTTCCTGTCCACCACACAGCTGTGCACAACTTTGTGTTGGTTGATCAAAACTCAGATGAAAAGAGTAAGGTCGGTGGGAATAAGATGAAATGTGAAAAAGACCATAGGGTGTGAACATTCCTGCCATGCAAACTACAGTAAATGATACTGTTTTTAGGTATTTCCACATTGTTAGAGTATGTATGAATCATATCAAATCTTTATTGGGGCAAAGATGGACAAATAATTAGTTTATCCTTGAAAACAGGCTGCAAATCTTATAACACATTTATACTGATGATTTCTTCAAGTATTTATCTGCATAAAATGCTTTTAATTTCTCTCTGAAAAAAATTTATTATGTTTTGGAGGAAAATCAAATCACCTTTTATTGAACTTAAAAAAGATAAAGTCTACTCTGAAATGTAGCGGCCGCTTTTTAACATTCTGTTTTCAGAAAAAAAAGGTCAAACATGAAACTTCATTCATATTAAAAAGCAAACCAACTGTTGGGTGTCTTCTGATAACTTTTAACTATCCAAACAATCATTGCTCTACAAAACGTAAGCAAGACTCAACTAAACCAACATAAAAACTCACGAGTATTTCGTATTTAATGCGAGATGGTCATGCTTTCTAAATGTCAAGTTTCTAACTTATCTGACATCCATCCTCTGTCTAAATTCCCACTAGATTCTAAAAGCTGAAACAATTATCTTAATGCAAGTATAATGCACTGTATAAGTTAAAAAGGCCATAAAGTCCAGTCAATTATGGCTTCAAACATCAAACTATTATTTCCTGCACTATAGCTATGATTTACCCTTTTTAAAAGAAGTCTACATAAACTAAAGTTAATATCTGCACAAAGTGTATTCATTTCATTTGTATTACCACAAACAATATCTTGAGTGTTTACAAGTACTTAGCTATACATAAATAAACACATTATGGTTAGAATTAAGACTATAAGAAACACTGAAATTCAACATTTTTTTGACACTAACAGAGAATGTTGGATGAGAATAAAATAAAGAATGTGTTATCTTTTTCTTTTTTCAAATTTTCTTTGCAGATTAGTTTTTTGGTTTCTAATTGATATCCAAACTGATGTTAAGATTCTTTTCAGGGATTTTTTCTGAAAGGAAGAAAAGAGAAGAAAAGTATTAAAAAAACAGTAGCTCAGAAAAGTAACAGAACAGCATCTAACCAGCCCAAACAACTTAGCCATGGGCAAACAAGGTGGAAAATATAAAAACAACAAACTCTTTCTGTGTGTAAATTCCTCTCAGCGTACATCCAGCTGTTCTGTATACACCTCAGAGGTTTGTTAGAGTCTTAATAAATAAACAGCATCATGAAAACCAAACAAGGAGAAAGCTTTGGAGCAGTTTAATGCAGGGTTTGGTTAACAGAACAATACCCCGATGATCGACTCGGAGTCATGTTCAAACCAATCAGTTGAAAATGGAAAAGCGTACAGACCAACTGCAGACACACCAAGATGTAAACTTACAAGTTGGGTAAAGTGAACATTAGGTCTAAATGCATTAGGCGGATTAGACAACTACGACCACTTAAAAAGAATTTTA